ATCATCACGATAAATATCTATCATTTGGTGCTTTCCACATTATACTAAACCAATATTTTGATGATTGAAGAAGAAAATGTCCGAGTTAAAAAAGATTTTTCCGCAATATCTTCTGCGCAGTTTTTATGCGCATATATATGATCTCTTCGACCAATCAGAAATCTCGAATAAAGAAGTCGAGAGCACGGCCAATCAGAATCTACGATAGAAAACGTTTCGGGATCGATCAAGAAGGAATATCCGGATGTTCTGGATTTTCGATCTCGGTGAGTTCCTTGGCAGAAATATGCCATTATCTTCGGGTTTTCAATTCTGATTTGATCCCAGATCGCCACTATGGCAAGTGCTCCATTAAAACTGTTCGCCAGATATATTTTCTGATGGCATTTGGCGAATGGCGACCGCTTATCCGACACACTGTCTCATTATAGCTCAAAATATCAGGTGCCAAAGTTCAAATTTCCCTCCATTTTCCACAATTTGGAAATCCGCAGCGAATAATTTTTTGGTCACTCATGACATCCCTGGTGTCAATTTTAACCTCTAACTTCACAAGAAAAGAACAGTTTTTCAACAAGATGGTGTCATATTGTTAGGAAATGATTTATCCTTAAAATGACATGACATGTTTAACATATACATGTATCTTAATGATATTCATTTTAGTCCATCAGCTTCGCCCCCAAATTTGGGTTATCGGTATCAAATTAGGGGAATAATTATCATAGTGATTTTTGGGAAGGTTAAGACCTCTAGAGTAAGAAAATATGTCATAGCATTGCAACAGTGATAACTAAATGGGTGTTATCACTCATTTTTCAAAATGGTCGCTGGTGCACGGATTACAATATAAAAGTGGATATATCTAAGCATACTGAGATGCAGAAACTGATTTTAGGATCTATGTTTTGGTTTTAGGAGTCAAGGATTTCATTTTTGTCTAAATTTGAGTCATCAAATAATTATTTTTCAGAGAAATCCAAGATGGCTGCCAAAATGGGTACCAAAACGAATCTGTAAATATTGATTTAAACTAAAAAAAACACACATTGAACAATATGGCACCCTTGAACAGAAGATAAAGTGTTAATACACGAAAGTTTGTCAATATTATAGTAATTGTATAGAAAATTGTACTTATTTTGCACATATCAGGGATAACTGGTAGGGGGATTTCAACCTATGCTTGGATCAGGGATATGGGAATCTTAAGTATATACTCCTCAAAAAAATTAAGGACATCATAGGTTTACATGTTAACCCCAATATTTGTTTAACGACTGTTTTCTAAGCGGGGAACAAAAGAAATCCCAATAAAGAAAATAAATTTGTATCTTGATTCTATTCCCTATAAAGTCCGCAACGTTTCAATGTTATATCTCCATTACATTTGGTCAAAATTTGACCTCAAAATTGATGAATTTCATGAAATGTAACAAAAATGGCAGATCCCATGTTAAACAAATGGGGAATGGTGGCTTAGGGGCAACTCAGATTTTGGAATATCTATTCAGCAAAACATTTATTAAAAATACTTTCTAAGTAGAAAATTGAATGATTTTACATGCTAAATGTCTCGCTTATGTTGTTAAAATTAGCGATACGGAGCGTTAAAGTAATTTTGACCACCTCACTGAACCACCTGTGTTATTTCAATAAGAAGTTCATTAAAAAAAATAGGACCCACGGTCCTGTGCTCACACAGCTTGGAACCTTCAGAGGAATGTATATCCTGACTTTCAAACAAAAACATTGATTTGGATTTGTAGTTCGAACTTTGAGAAACTTAGATAGCACAGTTTTGTGACCTAGTTTGATGACCTTTTACCTTGAAAGTTTTACTTATTCAGAGCTCAGTAAGGTCTTTTGTGATTAAGGTGACCAAAATTTACATCCAAAAATCAATTTGAAAATTTGAAAAATCAATTTTGACCTTTCGAAGGTCACTGAAGGTCAAGTAGATGTCAAATCCTAAAACTAATGCCAAATTTGAACTCCTGGCAACTTGAAGATGATTTTCCAAAAAATATTTGATCAAATTGAAGCAAGTTGAAAAATAACTTATTTTTACTGTTTTTTTTACGTCAAATATCTCAAAAATGGTAAAAATTTGATGCTGACATATATTGAGCAATATGTAGGGAATGCTTAAATCTAATGATGATGTAATTCATTGCAAGAAATGATCAAGTATAAGGCAAACTTTGAGAAACTTGTCAATTTCTCGGAAACCAGGTGAACCTGGGAAATGGCGATGATAGATCAAAAAGCATTATGGATATGCATAAAATAAATGTGGATATGACTCAATCCGAATAGCAGTTTTAATTTGTGCGGCCAATGTTGACAAACGGACGGACCAACGGACGGACAGACGGACGGACGAATGCCTGGTTGATCCCATAGGCTCACTGTGTGAGCCAATTCTTGAATTTGAAACCATTAACTTTTGTAAAGCCTGGACAATCAAATCATATTTTTGTCGAGTAGACAATTTAGCAAATTTATTTATCTCTTACAATCTCAATTTTGAGAGCAATCGGATGGATGGATCGTTCCTCATATGACTTATGGCAACCCAACCATTCCCCATTTGTTTAACATGGGATCTGCCATTTTTTTTTGTTAAATTTCATGAAATTCATCAATTTTAACATCAAATTTTGACCCAATGTAATGGAGATATAAAATTGAAACGTTGCGGACTTTATAGTGAATAGAATCAAGATACAGATTAATTTTTTTCTTTATTGGGAATTCTTTTGTTCCCCGCTTAGAAAACAGTCGTTAAACAAATATGGGGGTTAACATGTAAACCCTTTTTTTGAGGAGTATATATTGATGTATAAATGGTGTCCAAATGCAAAATAGAGGTTGTAGATACTTTGTAGCTGCTGGAAGATTTGCACATGATCTTGTCATAAATGAGATATAGCCTTGAATGTTCACAAAACAATCTCTACAAGTAGCAAGGCTATTTCTGCAGAATGATGGTTTAGGGAGGACTATAATATTAGAAAAATCCCTGAAAATTTCAAATGCATCCATCAAACTGTTTGGCTGGAAACCTGTAGACAAGCCTTGACAGACATGATTTAAGACGTAAAATCCAAAATGGCAGCCTTAACTTTTACCCAGAATGCCGCAAAACGAATCAGTTTCAAACGGTTTGGCTGGAAACTGAAGACAAGGCTTGACAGACAAGATTTTAGGACGGAAAATCCAAAATGGCCACCTTAACATTTACTCAGAATTCCGAAAAACTAATGAGTTATAAACTTTCATAGGTAGAAACATCCCTGAAAATTTCAAATGAATCCCTCAAATGGTTTGGCTGGAAACCTGTAGACAAGCCTTCACAGACATGATTTTAGGACGAAAAATCCAAAATGGTCGCCTTAACATTTACCAAGAATGCCGAAAAACTAATCAGTTCTAAACTTTCATAGGTAGAAACATCCCTGAGAATTTCAAATGAATCCCTCAAACGGTTTGGCTGATTTTAGGATGGAAAATCCAAAATGGCCGCCTTAACATTTACCCAAAAACTAATCAGTTCTAAACTTTCATAGGTAGAAACATCCCTGAGGATGAGGGCCATCCTGGATTTCTATAAAAGTAATTATTTGATGACTCAGATTTATACATAAATGAAATCATTGACCCTTAAAACAAAGATATGGGCTCCAAATTCACTGTTTTAAGTGTTTTTTTTAGCTTAAATCAATACTTACATATTCATTTTGGCTCCCATTTTGGTGGCCATCTTGGATTTCTATGAAAAGTAATTATTTTATGACTCATATTTAATAGAAATCCTTGAGCCTTAAAATGTAGACATGGGCTCCAAAATCACTATTCTTAAGTGTTTTTGAACTTAAATCAATAGTTATATATTCGTTTTGGCACCCATCTTGGATTTCTATAAAAGAAAGTTATTTGATAACTCAGATTTAGGCCTAAATGAAATCCTTGACCCCTTAATCCTAGACATAGGTCCAATAATCACAGTTTTGCATCTCGGTATGCTTAGATATACTCACTCTTATAGTGTAACACGTACAACGGTGGCCATTTTGAAAAATGGGTGATAACACCAATTTAGCTACCACTGTGGCAATGCTATCACATATTTTCTTACTCTGGAGGTCTTAATCTTCCCAAAAATCACTATGGTGATTATTCCCCTAATTTGATGCCAACCAACCCCCTAGGCTGATGGCTTATTTTTAAACTTGGGTATTGTTTTTTTGGCCCACCCTGAATATACAGGGTAGGCCAAAAAATGAAACTTTTTTTCAAGACACTATAGCTTTTCTATTTTCAAACCTACATACCCCAAATTTTGCAGTTATTTAGTGCCAAGGGTTCTTAGTAATAATATAATGTAACAAGTCCTTCAACTGGGAATATATGTGTCTTAATTGCCAGCTTTAGTTGAGCAATTTTTTAGATTGGGTGGCTTCATACCATCTCCTGGAGACCTCCATATACCCTATACTCACTGGGGTTTGCATTAGGGCTATTAGCATGGCGGTCATCAGGGCGTATCAGTTTAGGAACATTTTGCAAATTATGCTTATTTCTCATGGCACACCACATGTTTAAATGAGACGCTGGTGACATGTCTTATTTAAGTAAAAGTGTATAATTCATGATCCATGGCTAGATAACAACCTCAAGTTTCATTTAGTATGCAAATTATGATTTTGTGTCAAAAATTAAAAAAGTTATAGCATTTTGAAAAAAAAGTTGCGTTTTTTTGCCTACCCTGTATATTGAGTTTGACATAAAATAGCAGTCAGACGTTGCCTCTCAAAAGACTGTAATGGCCAGATGAGTTAAAATCATTACATATTAGGGCATTAATCATTTAACAAACAAACAACATATATGCTGAAAATTTGTCAGGTCATGCTGACCCAAGATAATAACAATAATTTTACCTGCCTGACTAAATTAGAGGTTGAACCATCTCTGATCTGAACTAAGTTACCTACCAAATTCTTTTTTTATTATAACGTCAGAGTCTTGTGCTTCATGCTCATTTTGTTCAGTATCAATCACCATGCAAGCCTCCTCCTCATGTTTATCTGCATCATCAGTTGGTGCTTTAACATCTTCTACAGCTGGTTCACTCTTCAGTTCTGTCCCAACATCTGCCTTTTCATCTTCCTCAAGCTTTCTTTTCTCTGCACGAGTGCTAATTATGCTTTTCCGCATTATCTTTAAAAAATGGAAACATGAAAAAGAATTATCTCACTTTTGATTATATGCTTCAAGGCACTTTGAATCATGAGCGTTTAATCTCAAACCATTTATTTCAAACTGACACTGATTTCAGGAAAAGACAATATGCAGGGTCTGACCTTAACTTTTTTTACCAGTAGCAAAGATTTGCTACCTTCTACCAAAACAAGGAGCAAATTCCCATATTCAGGTAGCAACAAAAATGCTCCAAGAAAACATTATCAGGTAGCAAATTGCTCCTCAAATAATATCTGTAATCATGTCATATAACGAATCCCCGGTTATTTCTCGCATTTTTGCACTGAACGAAATTACTATTTTTTAAGTTCAAGAGTCGTCTGAGAACAATTTGTGGTTTTTCAGACCAAAATCCGCATGTTTTCATTGAAAATAGGAGAATGAATTCCCAATCCTAATAAATGTAGTATAATCAATTGGGGGGGGGGGGAGAAACAAATTATAGTGTATTCATCAATGAAACGTGTTATATTTACCTGTTAGATGTGAATTGCATCTACTCTTATTTCGTATACTAGTATTTCGTGCAGGCGACATTTTTTTGGCAAGAAATTCGGTTTCGCTAAAGCGAGTAAAGTCCAATCAGTGATACTGTCTTATTTTGTTTCATTTTGGGATCTGTATCAACCAATCAGCGTTAAGGTTGTTTATCGCTATCGGAAACTTGATGAAAAAATAAAAAAATATCGGGAGTGGTAAGTTCCATTGTTTCTATGCGATAGAAGGGTTGAAATACATGAGATTCATTGCGTAACTTTGAGGTAGCAAGCATTTGCTCCCGGCCACGAAGTTTTTGGAGCAAAATGTGAATTCAGGTAGCAAATTTGTATATTTAGATTAAATATAAATTAGTTATGATATAACCTGATTAACAGCTGAAAGAACAAAGATTGACGGAATCATTTCAGTCTATAAAGGCATTCACAAATCAATTCAATCTAATGACATCATATATACCATGGGGCCATTGGTTCAAATTTTTAAGTCAATGTATCTCAGGAAGTATATTGCTTATGGTCCTGAAATTTCATTTAAGCTTGTAAGAAAGATACCAAATCGAATGAATGTTTTCATGAATCGCCATGTTTGTGATCCAAGGAGGACTGACTCCCAGAATACAGCATCAGTTAACCTTATTTACTCGTGACAGGTTTCAAAATGGTGGAACGGCATTTTGAAAGCTGGCACATGTCATGTTGCATTCTGGGAGCCAATGCTCGTTACGGCGTAATCGGGCTCCAAAATCACCTCAACATTTGAAGAGTCGGCATTAACATGTGAATATCCACTTCAAATTTTTAAGTTCTTATTTGTCATAATGGACACAAATTCCACTATATCTGAACTTACTAGGACGGAGAAAATAAAGCACTGAATAAACTGAGGTAAGAATTTATTACATGTGCGACAGCATGTAATTTTCATAGCTATAGTAATTCTTTATGTTCCCCACTTTATGTCTTTATTTTATGTATTTCCTTAGAAAAATTTTGCCATCTGTGCTCATTGTCACCAGGCGTTGTGAAAAAGGCAAGTTACATTCAATTATCTTGCTAATACCATTTCTTATCCCAGCGTGCCGGCTGGAAGTTGGAGAAAACCATTAACTTAAATGGTCTATTTGTACGTTCCCTCAACTGCTTTTGAGGCAGATGTGTTCAGTAAGTCAGAAGAAGTGAGTAGCTCCCATAATTCTTTCATATTCTGTCGTATTCAGGAATTCCCCATTACATCATCTCCCGCATCATCTCCAATCAAATTGCAGGATGTGATCACGTGAACAATCATGAGCATATGCTCTCTCAGTGCTGCGCATGTGCAAAGTTAAATTTGAAACCGGGGAATGGCGTTAACATCAGTTCAACATCATCATTTCAAATTTACGGTAATACTATTGAAGTTACTCGATCCATACTTGTAGAGAATACTCATAAAACTACAGTGAACATTTGGAGAGGCCTGTTGATAAAATTTGTTTTCGAACGTGCCAATATAATAGGTCATCTTTGGGAAATCTCCCCCCCTGCAGTAAGTCGAGGTTATCCCCTAGACTATATCCTATTTAGTCTGTTGGATACATACTAGGTTATCCCCCCTGAAAACAGTATGGAAACCAAAAATGAAAGTGATCCTCTATTATGTTCTTCAACTCGGTTCCCTAAGGATTTAAACAATGATCTCTGCGAATGTTATGGTTCCTCATCTTAAATTCTAAGATACCATTTGCAAACTTCATACAATAGAATTATCTTGAGTCTATAGACTCTAGTATAAATAGCAACGAAATCAAAATGAAAGTTCATAACGAAATAGAAACTGGAGAATCGTGACACTATTTGCTACTGCTTTTCTATGTGATATTGCACAAAGTGTCTTCTGTAAATTATACTGTATTCATTCAGGTTATATCACCTCGCTTCTGTAATAACTTTTATTGGTGTTAGACATGAATTACTTACCGATAACTGCTGTTTTAGAGTGAAGTCGAAAGTGCTTTGCCCAAAGAAATGGCGGCGTGACCTACTTTCTGAATGGAATCTGATTGGGCAATATCCGTCTAATTTCCATAATTGGATACACTGCACGAAAGGCCATAAAGACATGAATGAGAGACACCGATCAAATTGAACATTTGTACTTATAGACTCAAAATGTGGCATTGTCAATACCTCATGGATAATACACTTTCAACGTTTTCGTAACATCATAATTGATATGTTATAATAATAGTTAGTTAAGACTGATCAATTAAACGTTGCTAAATAGGACATGTTCTCCTAGAAAATGATTTACGGCCCAATTGATCTACCAGTCTAGCCTAGATGGCGCCTTTTTTGGATGTCTTCACGAAATTTGTAAAAATTCAGAGAAAGTCTCATGTTTTTGTGATAATGAGTCTCCTGAAATAGATTGTCTATAACCCACAAAGATAATGTTGCATGAACTATTGATTGCTTTAGGCGGATGCCCTGGAAGTATATTTGTTGAGCGTGTTGGCGGTAAAATTCAGGTAACTAAAATGGAAACCCTACAGTTGGGGACAAAAATAAATGACAGGTCGATTTTCGATCACCATTTCCTAATTATGGTGGTCTGAAAGCCCATAATTTCCAATATTGTCTAGATACATATCCCTTAAAATTTGTATATTTTACATTTTGTATAATCTCATCCACTGATTTATGGCCTCTTGTAAATTCTTACTCGAGTCTCTAGCTTACAGCTAGATGAAACTTCATTGATTTCGTATGTACTGTGCTACACGCACCTACACGCACCTAGAACTCATTTTTAATAAATTTTATAAATATTTTTAAGAATATTAATTATATTTAGGATGAAGCGTTGCTTGTCTGGATTTAGATAGAGTCAATACGTCCAAATCCAAACAGGGGGGTAAACACGAACGGGTTCCAAATAATGGCAAGCAGATCATTGAATTGAATAATAGTACCTCTACTACCTCTACATAATATTTATAGCCTGAAAGATACAATAAAATGATGTATACCAACAATCTTACAATAAAATAATCAATTATGATGATTTAGGTGTTCGGAATTACCCCCATGCTAGTGTTTGGAATTACCCCCAAAAACTCTGTGCGTTTAAATAAATAGATGTCAGTAATAAATGATTTAAATTTGGGTTTCTTGATATGCAGGGGTGACAGGATCCAGTATCATAAGTTAAGGGTATCATATAATGATATACCATCAATCTAATAATTAAAACAATAAAGTTTAAGTTAAGTGTTTGGAATTACCCCCATGCAAGTGTTCGGATTTACCCCCCAAAATAACTCCTGTTCGGAATTACCCCCCTAAAATACCTTGTAGTAAAAATGGAATAACCCAGATATTTTTTACAATTTTTCGTAATTTTTTCTGCAAATGCATTCTACAGTGGATAATACACATAATATATATAGAATCATAGCATAGATGTGCAGTACAGCCAAGCTAACTACATTTTTTGATGGGGGTGTTTGGAAATAGACGTACTGACTCTATTTCAAAATTTCATTTCGGAGTTTGACACATGGTGAAATTTTCTCGCTGTAGCTAAAAATGGCTTCCGGTTCTGGACGTGAATAACATTTGAAATTATTCTCGCTTAAAGAAATCAAATATAACAATAGATTCAGACGGGGATGTGAGCTGATGTTCTTCAAATCCATACATAAAGGTATATTTCATATTATTATGCCATATTTACTGTGCGTGTGACACAATGATTTACAATATTTATAATACTAAGGCAGCTCAATCTTCCTCCTCAAAGCCGGAATATAGAGAAGGCTTTGGACCGAAGTAAGTAAATTCTCTTATTTTAACATGGGAAATCCTCACTTCAGCAAATCCACCTGTCATTTATTTATGTCCCCAACTGTAGAGTCCATTTCACTGCTTCATTTCGTCAGTAGAACGGCAAAAATAAGAAATTGGGAGACCATTGTGCAATAATATATGGAAAAGTATATTCATATTGTACATGAATGACATTTGTATATTTCAGATTTTTTAGTTTTTGTGCAATAAGCCTGTGCCGTCTTGTAATTTGAAGAATTTCAGCCATGTTAATCTTATTGAAAATAACATGGCAGAGAAGCATCCAAATATAAGAGGCCACACACTTCATAAGCTAAACTAGAAGCAATCCAAGATATACAAATGTCATTCATGTACAATAGGAATATATTTTTCTATATATTATTGCAAAATGATATTTTGATTTCTTATTTTTTAGCTTTTACTGACGAAGTTAAACAGTGAAATGGACTCTAGGCCTAACAGCTAAATTATCTGTTGCAAGCTTTGGAACCGCCTGCCACAAACGTCACCATATTATTCAGTGTTTTTAAGTAGCGCAAGGATCCTACCATGATCGTGGTAGTGTTATCGTGAAAGCCTGGTATAACCGTGACAATGCTGCATTATATTGCTACAGTGGGGATCATAAAGAATTGCAAAAGCTATGAAAATTACATGCTGTCGCACATGTAATAAATTCTCACCTCAGTGTATTCAGTGCTCTATTTTTCCGTCTTAGTAAGTCCAAATATAGTGGAATTTGTGTCCATAATGACAAATAAGAACTTAAAAAGTTGAAGTGGATATTCACATGTTAAGCCGACTCTTCAAATGTTGAGGTGATTTTGTCGCCAGATTGCGCCATAACGGAGGATTGGCTCCCAGAATGCAACATGACACGTGCCAGCTTTCAAAGGCAAAACTGCCCTAATTCACGTCACCATACTAGTCAATGGGCAAAAGGGCAAACGCCTGACTTTTTATCTCGAGTTATGGATTTATATGGCCTCACTGGCCTATCTGAGGTTCTAAAGCTATGTCTAAGCTACATCTTGACACTAAACTCAATAGGGGCCAACCATCTACTTTTTAAAATAATTGGTCAATTGTGCCACTACCCCCTCTCTCTGCCGACACAAATTTAAATTCACAAAAATGAAGGCAAAATTAATACGCCACTTGACTCGAAATTTTCCTTCAGATAACCCAAATAAACGCATTTTCAGAAGAAATGGCATGTTGTCATTGCAAAAAGATGACAACTGTGCCTACATACTAGCTTACTGACTCGTCATGATCACAATTGTGTTGGGACTACATTTATTTTTGAATACTACTTTTTTCTATTTAGCGGAAGTGACGTATTAGGGCATTTTGGCCAAAATGCTGTTCCGCCATTTTGAAACCTGTCACGAGTAAATACGGTTAACTGATGTTGCATTCTGGGAGTCAACCGTCCTTGGATAGCAAACATGGCGATTCATGAAAACATTCGTTTGATTTGGTAGGGATTTATCTACCGCTTATCTACTTTTAGCTATTTTTCAGTCACATTTTCATAGAGCTGAAAAGGTTATTTCATCATGTTAAGGGTCATTCGGACCATGAACATTGTGATCCTGGACCTGTCATTGGTATTTGGAACTAGTTGAATTGACTGGAGGCCAAAACAGAACTCTGTTATCTTTGTTCAAAAAATGTCTAAAAATGCAAAAAAAATTATCACTTCCTATTTCGTCATTTCCTGTTAACTTCCATAGCACCTTAAGCCTGGCGCCACCGTAGCCTTTATAATGACATTTATTTCATGTTTCGCCCACAGTCCAGAAGGAAAAAGAAATCTATAGAGCAAGCCTTGACTCAATAAGCACATAAAAGTTAAAAGGAAATCATCCTTGTAAAGTTAACACATTTTGATCAAGGCCAAAAAATGCAGGAAATGTAAAAAATATTCATACTGCAGCACCTCATTGGATAGGTTATAAGCACATACATGCTATAAGATGAAGAAAATTGTGTTCAGACGCCTTAATAGTGATATTTTGTAAAAAATGTGAAACTGACAAATTTTTTCGAAAAACATAATCGACCCGTGTTTTGATAATTTTCTACCCAATACATTTTATTTTTCTGACGTTATTTTGTCAGCTGTGACTTACCCCAATTTTCCAGATGATTCACATATATTGACAACTTCCTATTGTTGTTGAAAATTTAATCCGTTTCCTTACTAATTTTACTTATGTTTAGGAAATATCCATCTCAACAAAACAATCATAACATCACAAATATCACAGGGAAGGGGTATAACCTGTGATATAACCAACTGAAAATCAAATAAAAAATTCCTTGTCATCTCAAAACAACAATGAAGTACATCATTTGATAGATAATTGGTTCAGCAATACAAAAATATACATGCCGATGCGATCAGAGTCATACAAGTCAAAAGTTCTAGAAGGATATTTTTCTGAAAAATTTGTAAGAAAACAAAAGTTCTAACTTTTGCTTTACGAGAAAAATCTCGTTATCTTGACGTTTTATGATGTTTACTTACCTATTTTTATGAAACTTGTTGATCGATAGTTGCTTTATAATACCCAGTGCTGTTATAGTTAAATATGTGTCACAATCTGTGTTGCATTTAGAAATCACACATCCTAAGATTTTCGACATCTAGAAAGTCACTCGACTATTTTGCAAAAAACCTTCCAAAAAGTAACAGTCGCATGAATTCACATTGTCGTACTTACAAAATGATCCACCGCCTAACTTATGCACCATCGAACTCGGTAATATTGTACACGTAACTATTAATTACCATATATTCCCATAGAAAACTGGGCTTGCTTTTCAACATTTCAAGCGAAAATTCTCTATGGAGCTTTTTCTGACGTAATTTCTTCTAAGAAATCGGTGACGTGATAGGTTCAGTTCATCTTATTTCGAAAGGGGTGTCATCTATTTAGAATATTTATTTTCATCTTGTCCAGTCCTATATACAACCTGCCCTTATCCTTTTCGCTTGTAAAACCACGTAGTAATGTTGAAATTATGGAATAGATTCTCTGAGAGTGGCGACATGTCTGTATCTCTACCATCTTGCGTTTGACACCCAAACTGAGTTTATGACGAAACTTATGAGAGAATCAATAAAAGGTAAGTGGTATACATTAGGCGGACGTCAAAAATTAAACGTGGCGCCAATTTGACACTTCAGAATGCTTTCTGTGATTCAAAATCACAAAATAGTCGAGTAACTTTTTAGATGTCGAAAATCTTAGTATGAGTGAGTAATAAAATTTGAGAAAAAGTGAGAAATGAAATTTTCTATTTTTTTTCAATTT